TTATATGTGAATTTATTGTTACTATATTTTATAATATAATATATTAAACTTATTATAATATAATAAGTTTAATATAATATTTAATGTTTATTTCTGTAGTATTGCTCAAATGACATAATTGCCATTTAGTAGGGTTCCGTACCTACCCAAAGAGTATCAACGGGACCCAAGCCTCCACTATCGTTCCGTCTGTCTATCAGTAGGCTGTATCTTATGAACCGTAATATGTAGATACTTGGAATTTTCATAGAATGTGCATTTACATTGCTGCTATAACAACATAAAATAAAAAAGAAAACAAGTAAAATATTAAAGGACCCAAAATAATTACGTTTCTTCTTCTTCATTTTCCTTCAAATCTCTGGTATTGAATATATCAAATAAAACTACTTGTCGCATTTTTCTAATCAAAACCCCAAGATTTCTACAGCAACGTTTATTTTTTATTATTTCACTACCTACAAGATGGTAACAAGTTATCGAACAGAATGGACCCATATATATTATAATTAAATGTAATAAAACTTTAAAACAAAAACGTCTTGAATTTGTATACAATATACGAAGAAACTTTTTCGCCAGTCTTATATACTAACTAAAGGTGTAACAAAATAGTACTTAATAACTTAGGGAATGATTCTGCCCGTCAACGTGAATATTTTTTATTATGGGATCATCTTCGAAATTTTCAATTTATACGTGATAGACCCATACTGCACTACCCATTCGTGCTACAACTATACTACTAATATAGCTGCAGCATGGCTCTACCACGTATTAAGACTCACTTCTTTACTCACGCCTTCTACATGTGAAGATCAGTTTCTTTATTCGTATGACGTTCTGTTATCCAATTCACTGTCGCCATCAACTGTGAAGAAGATTATACAAAGCCGTGGTATCTCAGTCGCTAAGCGCTCGCATTTAATCACACAGCATGCGCGCAAGCCTGGTTCGAGCCCTTACGACACCAATGAAATCGTAAATTGCAATTTTAAATGCTGATTTATTGTGCTTGCAAAAGCATTAGGTCGGCCACACACATACGGAATCCCGTTTTGTCCGCAAAATTTCGAACGGAAAACTACCGTACGTGTGTGACGGGTCACAGGTTTTATATGAGCAGGAATATCGAAACGGAATCCCGAAACGGAATTCCGTATGTATAACACTCTCTCTCTCTCTCTCTAGACATTAACAATACGCATTGTAGCGGCGCGGCGCGGCGAACTCTTTCCCGCTCCTAAGCATATATCCAGTTGTGGGACGTATTTGTGCTTAGTGAGCATGTAAAGTCCGCCAATATGTTCTGCAGCAGCGTGGCGGATTCGCAGCTCGTATATTTGCGAATGTATATTAACCGTGTAGTGGTGTAAAAATGTTCACTACCTCCATATCGTCCCGTGGGTGTCGTAGGAAGCCAGAGGGTCGTAGGGGGTGAACAAACCAGGAGAATGGCAGCAGCGTCTTTCTAATGGCAACTATAAAATAAAAAAACTGTGATTGCCAACCCTATAGTCAAACGTGGCACCTATAGAAAATTATCTTTTATGAGGCAAATTATGGGCAGACCTACGTTAAGCAGTGGACTTTGATAGAATATAATTAATGAATTAATAATGGATTAATAGGATATTTGCTGTAGTATAAGCAGAAATGAGTGTAATCGCTAACACGCAACACAATTTTATACATGTAGAGCCATCTTGGAGTTATATTATGGATTTAGCACGAATGGGTCGGCTATACCGGGGAAGGACCACGCTCTCACAGAATGCCAGCGTTAAACAGCAGCTCAATGCTGCTGTGTGTCGTATAGTGACTGTAGAGAACCGAAGATCTTTTTTACGGGAAACGAGTCATTCCATCTTAGCACTCAGGGGTAACAAATCTGCATTTTGATTCTTAATCGAGGATAGATGTAGATTTCTATAGGCTACGGCGTCCACTTACTAGTCACTTACTAGTATCTAGTGAAGATTGTGCTCACTTGTCCCCCATATTCTAGAAAACACAATCGCAGTCGATAGTTAAAATCTGCACTGTCCAATACATAGTTCGTCAGAAACTCAAACACAAATATACCACGACAATTAGTATTTCTTCAGAAATATTTACTTCAGCAATGTTTCGAACATACAGTCTACGATTCAGTACAACAGTAGCCAGTTTCTCTGACTCATACGCGACGCCAACGTCATGTTTCAAATATGTCACAAATGTCTCATTCCCGAAATTGTATCATGTCAATCGACTGGCTCCGAACTAATGCGGTGTTGGGTTCAACCTTCACCTCTTGGTGCATTGTATCCTTTTAATTATGACCCACAGCTCGCGGCAATTTGTATGTCACCCAGGCGCAAAATACACGCCGCAGATACAGTATAAAAAGTGTCGCAGGTCGCAAAACAATATAGTTCAACTTCAACAATTCAAGTTACAACAATGGCAGCCAAGGTATTATTAAACTTTGTATACATTTTAAGTTGCTTTAAACGATATAATTTTCTTAGAAAACACTTTGATTGTTTTTGTACCTACGTCTATTTTCTACGACATCCGATCACCTGCCAAGCGTGATGTTTACCCCAAATCTTCTTTGCTATTAGAACAGAATAGAATAGAATGATTTTTATTCAATATTGATTATTACATAATACTTATTGAAAATCATTTTTTTATTTACCACTGGTTCGGATTATACCTTCGTTCTGGGAAGAATCAGCAAGAAACCCAGCGGGACTTTTTTTAAACATAATTTCACTTAACAATAATTTTGTTTATACAATTTTAAATGAATTTTCATAGAACCAGCATGGTGGCGATCACCTTATTCCCAGGTGTTATTTTCATTCATGTATTCCTTGATATTATAAGCACCCTTTTTGTACAGCTTTTCTTTAATAAAACTTTTAATATTGTTTATTGACAAACTTTGAACATGTTCTGGGATTTTGTTGTAAAAGCGCATACATTGCCCCATAAATGAATTACTGATTCTGTGGAGTCTAGTAACTGGCATTACAAGCTTATGTTTGTTATTAGAATTTAAAGTATGAACATCCTTATTCTTATTAAAGCTATTTATGTTTTTATGTACATACATTACATTTTCATAAATATATTGCGATGCCAAAGTTAATATGTTTATTTCTTTAAATTTTTCTCTGAGGGAGTCTTTACAATTTAGATTATAAATAGCACGTACGGCTCTCTTTTGCAAAACAAATATAGCGTCAATATCTGTCGCATTACCCCATAGCAAAATTCCATAAGACATTACGCTATGGAAGTAACTAAAATACACTAACCTAGCTGTCTCAATATCTGTGAGACTTCTAATCTTTCTTACAGCATATGCTGCAAAACTAATTCTGCTTGCTAATTTAGATATATGGGGGCCCTATTGACGTTTCGCGTCAATAGAAAAACAGTGGTATCCACAAGCCTCAACTCCTCCCCATTTAAGAGCACATAGGTTTTCGAATGTTTTACATTAGGTGTTGTAAATTTAATACCTTTTGTCTTATTGCTGTTTAGGAGCAAATTGTTGGCGTTAAACCAATGTACTAATTTCGATAGAGCATTATTTACGTCATAATTAATTGACTGCCGTTTGAGTTTAAAAATTAAAGAGAAAATTAGAGAAGCCCACATTCTAAAGTCGGTAACTATGTAAAGGCTAATGAAGAAAAAAAACTACGCGTTTTAAATATCGACTTTCACTTTAACGTTTGTATGATAAGTGCTTACCATTTGAATACAGGTATTTTTTTATTTAATTTTTATCTGAGCCATTCTCCCCACTGACCACTAAGCCACACTGCAGCTATATTGTGGTTGTAGCACGAATGGATCGGCTCGACCGGGGTAGGATCACGCTCTCACAGAATACCAGCGTAAAATACCAACTTAACGCTGCTGTGTTTCGTATGGTGAGTGTAGAGAACCAGAGACCCCTTTTACTGGAAACGAGGCATTCCGTCTTAGTCCTCAGGGGTGACAACGCATCTGCTTTTGATTCTTAATCGAGCATAAATGTAGATGTCACACCATCCATTTACCATCAGGTGGACTGTGTGCTCGTTTGTCACTCTTATTCTATAAAAATATATACCTTTATGTCATTGGTTTCTCGGAAACGACTTTTGCAATCTGGATGAAATTTTGTATTTAAGTATGTTTTACTTTCCAAGTTTATCTAGATGGGTTTCATCCCAGGCAATATCATATTGTTTTCTTCTATTCCTACAAGTACTCCTACAATTTAAAGAACCCTGATAGATCGATGATGATGAGCACTTACGTTAACATTTCACTTACGCAAACAAGCCGAATTCGATCCCCGCCAGCACTGATGTAATTTTAAATGCTGATAAATGAGTGTTCGATTATGACATTATGAATAAACTTGTATGTCTGACTTATTAATAAAAAATCGAGAACATGTAAAGTCAGTTAACACGTATAAAGATGGCTCGACTGTCTTTTCCCTGCTACAAAAAACCTCTCAGAAATTGGTAAGATTATTATTATTAATTTTTATTTTATTGTTATTTTGACTTGATATAATAATACATTATAATGTCCTCCATACCGAATATCGGTCACGGCGGCCAGACTCAACGGAGGATAGCCATCTGCGCAGGACAGAATTATAGTGCCCAAGTGTATGCGCAAGCACAGGTGCAGTCACTATTCCCTCACTATCATAGTCCGATGGTAAACTTACACGACCGGAGAGAGATCAGGCGCAGGATCAACGGCTTTACGTGCTTTCTTAGATACGGGGGTGAAGAAACACCACCATATTCCTGACTCCGGGTTACTACTGAGAATTGCTTGACAGAAAACTCTTATAATTTTTTAGACCCAAACATTAATTCCAACCCGAGACATCATTAGATCATAGATAGACATATCATCACTAGATCAACGAAACAGTCAAAGTCTTCATATAACAATGATACTTATTTATGTTCTGTGAATGTTCATTTCAGTTCTTCGTACTCTTCTCTCTGGCCGTCGCAGCGACAGCCCTACCGGTCGTCCCACTTGCCAAAGTGGCCTACGCTGAACCCGAGGCGCCCGCACACTACGAATTCCAATACTCCGTCCACGACGAACACAGCGGCGACATCAAACAACAACATGAAGCCCGCGCTGGAGATGCCCTTCAGGGCTCCTACTCCTTAGTACAGCCCGATGGTGTACACCGCATTGTAGACTACACTGCCGACGAGGAGCACGGTTTCAACGCCATAGTTCGTTATGAAGGACACCCCTCTGCAGCGCCCGCCAAGATTGCTTATGCTGCAGCCCCCGTTGCATACGCAGCGCCAAAGTTCGCATACGCCCCCGTCGCCAAGGTCGCCTATGCCGCCCCCGTAGCCAAGGTCGCCTACTCCTCTCCTCTTACCCAAGTTACCTTCTCCTCTCCGGCTATCTCCTATCATCACTAGACTGTAGAATAATTGTTATATATAATTGTTGAAGTTGACCTATTTATTGGTGTACGAAGTAACTAATAAATTATTTATTGACATTTTATCATTGTTTATCATTTAAAACGATTTATAAATCACTCCGTATAAAAATAACGAATCGATTTTATTGCCTAAATACAAAATGCATATTAGGTCTATATGTGTGTCCACCGGACAATTTTAATATTTTTTCTTAGGTCTTGCTTGATCAAAAAATGTACATAAAATTATATAATGATAGCTTGGGATCTAGTCCTGCATTTTCAACTACTTAAGAGTTTTTCATATTGTCGCAGAGCTAGTGATAGCAAAGAAAACCCATTGTAAATTCTATACGTTACTCTGGTTCTACTGCGGATATCCTCATTTCTAAGTATAAGTATGATATGCTTCTTATTTTCCGTAGTATTCTGTCCAATCACGACCGCTATGACGTCATATTACTAAAATATATTGTCAACTGCGCATGGCATGCTATAGTGTCTTCATTGTACATCCATAGCTAAAGAAGTAATCATTCTAAACTTCTTGTATCCGTATGAGATAAGTTCGAAAGAAAAATGCACTTTCAAAACATAAAATTACCAGAGTCTGTTCACTGTCAAAATTCATATTGTGTAAGAATTATGATACACAGAGGCGACACACCTCATTTATTTAAATTATTAATACGAAATATATTTATATACCACGTGTTCGCCGGTGAAACAAACGTAGCAAGGAAACCTGTATGTCCGTAAAATTAAAAAAATATACTTCTAAGATAAGTGAAGTTCACCAACAGGCAGTTATTGTCCTAAACCCCTCTCAGAAATTAGAGGAGGCCTGTGCCCAGGTGTTAGACGTCTATAGGCTGTAGTACGAGAAAAATAGGCTGTAGTATAGGACGAGAAAAATTTGCATTATTTGAAGAAAGCTCATAGAATTTTTTTAAAGTGTTTAGCATGAAAGTTGACCAAAATAAGATCTTTCTTCAAATAATTCAAATTTTTCTCGTTATTTCGCTTTAAATCTTCCAACTCATGCATTTGAAGAAAAAAGCTAAGCATTAATTTGCTGTATCTCAGATCCTATTTGTCGTAGAAAAATTATAAAAAAGCATTGTTTTTGTTTTTTTAAAAGCTACAATTTGGCTCTCAACACTGTTTTTGATAAAATGCATATTTTTAGAGTTATTCGCAAAAAACTATTTAAAAAAGTCGATTTTTTCGTCAAAAAACTGTTACTTACAACTTTGAATAACTCAAAAATATTAGATTTACGAAAAAAACGTAAATTATATTTTTACCTTAAAATTATTTTTTTCCGTCGATTCCTATAGTTAAAATGTAATAAAAAATTTCCACTCCCGAGATGAGGTGGCAACCACCCCCAAGGCTCTAGCGTACAGCGGAATGATATAGACAATGATCCTTGAGTTATTCCCTACCTTCTGTGAAAATTTCAAGTAAATCCATGGTGGACGAAAAAATTGCGAGCCTAAATGCTTCATTTCCTAGACTATCAGTTGTACAAAATTTTAAACTTATTATTTCCTTCCTGTTGCTTTACTCATTCATTTGTTCGTAATAGCTTATCAAAAGTCCACTGCTAAACATAGGCTTCTCTAATATATTGCCTTGTAGGTGGAATATTTGCTATACTTGCAACGCTTAGCGAGCGGGTTTTTAACCGCAATTTTTTATTATTTTAACTATTGTCAGGAGAATGCTGCTGCTCGATTTCTGTTATTTAATTATTATTACTTATCGTCTCTTACGACACTATGGGATGAAATTGGGTAATGGAAGATGAATCTATCGACAGTTCGACTTTAAAACTTCCTACAGCACTGTTCTTTAATTCCTCCCTCACAGTTCGAGCAATATTCCGCGTGGAATGTAATAATTTGTAAAGTAATGTTACAGCCTATAGACGTCTAACACCTGGGCACAGGCCTCCTCTAATTTCTGAGAGGGGTTTAGGACAATAACTGCCTGTTGGTGAACTTCACTTATCTTAGAAGTATATTTTTTTAATTTTACGGACATACAGGTTTCCTTGCTACGTTTTTTTTCACCGGCGAGCACGTGGTATATAAATATATTTCGTATTAATAATTTATATAAATGAGGTGTGTCGCCTCTGTGTATCATAATTCTTACACAATATGAATTTTGACAGTGAACAAACTCGGGTATGAACAAACTCGGGTATTATGTTTTGAAAGTGCATTTTTCTTTCGAACTTATCTCATACGGATACAAGAAGTTTAGAATGATTGCTTCTTTAGCTATGGATGTACAGTGAAGACACTATAGTATGCCATGCGCAGTTGGCAATATATTTTAGTAATATGACGTCATAGCGGTCGTGATTGGACAGAATACTACGGAAAATAAGAAGCATATCATACTTATACTTAGAAATGAGGATATCCGCAGTAGAACCAGAGTAACGTATAGAATTTACAATGGGTTTTCTTTGCTATCACTAGCTCTTCGACAATATGAAAAACTCTTAAGTAGTTGAAAATGCAGGACTACATCCCAAGCTATCATTATATAGATTTATGTACATTTTTTGATCAAGCAAGACCTAAGAAAAAATATTAAAATTGACCGGAGGATCTGTTCAGTAATAACACGTATAACTCATATAGACCTAATATGCATTTTGTATTTAGGCAATAAAATCGATTCGTTATTTTAAACGGAGTGATTTTTTATCGTTTTTAAATGATAAACAATTATAAAATGTCAATAAATAATTTATTAGTTACTTCGTACACCAGTAAATAGGTCAACTTCAACAATTATATATAACAATTATTCTACAGTCTAGTGATGGTAGGAGATAGCCGGCGATTAGAAGGTAACTTGGGTAAGAGGAGAGGAGTAGGCGACCTTGGCTACGGGGGCAGCATAGGCGACCTTGGCGACGGGGGCGTATGCGAACTTTGGCGCTGCGTATGCAACGGGGGCTGAAGCATAAGCGATCTTGGCGGGCGCTGCAGAGGGGTGTCCTTCATAACGAACTATGGCGTTGAAACCGTGCTCCTCGTCGGCAGTGTAGTCTACAATGCGGTGTACACCATCGGGCTGTACTAAGGAGTAGGAGCCCTGAAGGGCATCTCCAGCGCGGGCTTCATGTTGTTGTTTGATGTCGCCGCTGTGTTCGTCGTGGACGGAGTATTGGAATTCGTAGTGTGCGGGCGCCTCGGGTTCAGCGTAGGCCACTTTGGCAAGTGGGACGACCGGTAGGGCGGTGGCTGCGACGGCCAGAGAGATGAGAACGAAGAACTGAAATGAACGTTCACAGAATATAAATAAGTATCATTGTTATATGAAGACTTTGACTGTTTCGTTGATCTAGTGATGATATGTCTATCTATCTATGATCTAATGATGTCTCGGGTTGGAATTATTGTTTGGGTCTAAAAAATAATAAGTTAGAGTTTTCTGTCAAGCAATTCTCAGTAGTAACCCGGAGTCAGGAATATGGTGGTGTTTCTTCACCCCCGTATCGAAGAAAGCACGTAAAGCCGTTGTTCCTGCACCTGATCTCTCTCCGGTCGTGTAAAACATGTTGCACTGTTTAAAATGCGCTTCTGCAATGTAGATAGTTTATTAAAATAAGATTGTATTGTTCTAGATGGATGAAAATGCACCAATATGTTCACAATGTTTTGCAAACGTATTACAAGAATTATCTGTCGGCACAAATCATGAAAATGAGCCCTAATGCCAATATCAGTATATTGTATGTTTGGTGTTAACGGAGACTGAGTAGCCGGTAAGTTGTGACCCAATTAATATCATCCCAACAAGACCGTTTTAATAAGAGGCCGTATAAAATCTCGCCATCACTCGAGCAGAGCTTAATATACATATATACTGATGGCGAGACAAGGGATAAGTTGGGATGAGATGATTGCAGGTTATTATTGCAGTTGCACTTCTGGACAACAGACAGTGGGTTGCTGTGCCCACATAATTACCGTTGTCTGGTATTTGTATTGAGATCGGTATCAAAATTCCATAACCGCACCGGCCTCAATTTTGGATGGCATTTTAGTAGGAGAGGATTTTGAAGTGGGATAAATAAATAAAAATAAAAAAATTAAGCTGTTTTATTTATATTACCTTAAGTATCCAAAACATGATTGAGCTAATGTTTCACTTTCTATAATTCATTGAACTGTTAACCTTTGTTATGACATTATCTAGGCTTTAAATGTCTGTCAAGGCTCAAGGCATACTCTGACACGCTGAGGACCTGTTATATGAAAATATTTATATACCGGAAACGGCAGAATATTTAGGATGCGAATTCTTTTGTAACAACTGTAATGTGCCATATTATAACAAATAAATTATATTATCTATGATTGTACCCTGGCACTTCAGCAGCGCAGATAGACACATATACCTGAACAGAAATTAGTATTCAGGATTATTCTCTTTATCCACCTTAAAATAGCCACTCCAAGGTAAAATAAGTTAAATATATTCTTTATTATTAGTGCAATAAAGTAGTATACATCTCAGGGTGGATTTTTTAGGGTAGATAAACGGAGTTACCCGCTATTCACATATAATCTCGGCTTTGAGCTATCTGGCACAAAATTTTTGTAATAAGTAACAAAACACCTAGGGCCTCATTTCTCCATGTAAAACAAAAAAGGTCTGGATGCTCTTGGCACTGAACTGTGCAGTACATTAGTTTAGTACACACTAATGAATGCAAATAAATAATTTTGAGCGTAGGCACCGTTGATTTATCTCAACAATCTTCTTGTCTGGAATTAGGTAGTACTTTTTACATTTGTTTTCTCCTGAACTGCATTTATGATATGCAAATATCAACAAGAACCATAGATTAATGATAAGTTATCGCGTGCTCTGACTAGATACCGCCGGCGCTCATGTAAAATCAGGGATTGAAAACGCTTCCAA